TGTGGAGATAGAAATGTTCTCTATCTTGACTGCATCAACGACCATATCCTGATTGTGATACTATACCGTCCTTTTGCAGTATGTTGCCATTTGGGGAAAAGTGGGTGAAGGATATGTGAGATCCCTCTGTATTATTTCTTACAAATCATGGGAATCTGTAATTATCTCAAAATAATAAAAACTTTAATTAAAAAACATCAGAAAAAAAACATCGATTGTGCTAATGTTGAGAAACTGTGATAAAAAAAACATCAATTGTGCTAATGCTGAGAAACTGTGATTTAGAATGAAAGCCAGACATACCAAATGAGGAAACTAGGAAGGTTATGAATCTGGTAGGAGGAAAATCAAGGAAGGTTTCACAGAATTCATCACATTTAGATTGAACTTTAAAGTACAGGTTTCCAGGAGAAGCTAGGGGGAAACATTTTGGTTGTGAAGGGTGGGCAAAAGATGTAATGTGGTGTCTCAAGGTATCCAGTAAGCAATGATGAGATAGTTTCAGACCTAGATCAAGGGCAACATTGAATAATAATAAATGCTGAGTTTCAAGATGTGAGTTATAAACGTAATCGATGCTTGTAGCAGGGAAGCAAAGCTCCTCTTATCCCCTTGACACACAGCTTTAGAAGCAGGGAGAAAGCAGTGGACCACCCGTGGCCACTCCAGTAAGCTAACTAAACCTAGCGGTACGCAGCCAGGGCTCCGTAACAGGCAGGTGCACTTGGGCCCTCACAGACCGGGGGGGGGGGGGGGGGCATGATCTGACCTTGGTTTCACTAACATTTCTGGTGGTTGTCTGGCATCTGCATTAGAAAGTAGAGAAGTCAGAGATGAGACAAGAAATGATGCAAAGGGAAAATGGAAAATGAAACAGAGGAATTAGGTGGATAATGGAGACATTTCAGGGACTTGTAGATGCCTGAGCTGAAGAGAAGAGAAATCTGAGCTGCTTCTGAATTTCATAGTCCAAGATGGTGGTGTCACCTCTGAGGATAGACGCACAGGAAGATAAACAGATGGGGGTGGGAGTGGGGATTTGATTTGTTTAAGATACATGAGATTTGAGATACTGCTGACTGTCCAGGAGAGAGCTGGAGATTTGGTTCTGTGGTTTGGGAGAGTGTCAGAATGAAGATAACATCATCAGAGGTTGGATGAGGTCCCTTGAGTGAGAAGTGAGAAGAGGTTCAAGGACAGAACATGGGGGCAGTCCCCAGTGGCTCAGTGGTTTAGCGCCGCCTTCAGCCCAGGGTGGGATCCTGGAGACCCGGGATCGAGTCCCATGTCGGGCTCCCTGCAGGGAGCCTGCTTCTCCCTCTGCCTGTGTCTCTCTCTGTGTATCTCACATGAATAAATAAATAAAATCTTTAAAGAAAAAAAAAAGAACAGAACATGGGAGGATATTAAGGAAAGTGTAGCAAGAAAAGAGACCAGAGATGGAGGAGAAACTCTAGAAGGCAAAACTCTGAAGTGCAGGGGAATCACACAGAGGACATGATAAATAAGAGATCCCAGAGCTGTAAAGAAATCCTTTGGGGTCAGACATGGGAAAAGGACATCCAAGGGCACACTTAGGCAAACAGTCATTGCAGAGGAGAACCTGGGAGGAGCACAGCCTGATGTGAAGGTCTGAGGACACAGGAAGGTTTCAGGCTGGGCGTGTGTCGGCAGATGTCACTAGACTTTTTTTTTTTTCCAATATAGTTTGTAAAACTATGATTAAAGCTGTACTCCTCCCATTAATTTTCTTGCACATGGAGACTTGTTCTCTAGCCTCACTTTAATCATTAGATATGTTTGTTAAAACACATACACACACACACACACACATATACACACCAAACTAGTGGGCCCGCAAGGAATAACTGAGTGGCGAGGAAGCCCTTTTACTGGCGGGTTGGTCATATTTAATTCAAATCATTTAACGTATATTTTGTTTAAATATTGCTTCCGTTATTGGAAAATGAATATTGGTGGGTAAATGGAAATTTAAATTTTAGCTTTGAAACTTTTTTTGATTTTTTTTTTAAATTTTAAAACTAGTTCATGGAATTTCTGTGTGTGTGTGTGTATTTCATGAAAATTATATATTTTATGTTTTTCAGGAGTTTATTAAGCTCTCTTATACCCAGTTCTGCTTTCAGTTGCATGCCTGTGAGTCTTAGAGTAAAAGACTTGTGTTTCACAACCTCTGGGAATACCAGGCAGTTGCAGAATATGAGATTTTAGAGGCTAAAACTAACCTGGTAGAAATTCAAATCCATCTTTTATCTTTTAGATAAAAGCCTTTGAAATCCTTTTAGTGTGAAGTTATCAGCAGGCTTGATTCTCATATAACCTCATTACTAACCCAAGGATTATTCAGAATGCATGGAGAGCAATGCTTTGTGGCTGAAACTCTTTTTTTTTTTTTTTTTATCAATTCTACAGCCCAGTGATAAGCCACATGTGGTCCACCTAGTTCTGCTTGGGAAATGCTGCCTGCTTGCCCCCCGCCTACCTTGGAGATCACAATACACACTCAAGGCTCTCCTAAGTTGTGTTCTAAAGAAACCTGTTCAACTTTATTTGAATATTTCCAAAACTTATTTAACTGTAGAGCTTTTTTTTGTATTAACATTTCATAACTCACCTAGGGGTTTTGTAAGATAAGTGGAATGGATTAACAATTCAGATCTAAGATAGCTGCTGCTGGAAGTAATGGGGTGTTCTCGAAATATCTTTGTTTCCTGAGTTATATTTTATGAGTGTAAGAAAATTTTTTATCTAGACTCATCACTGGTCATTTTTCTCTCCCCAGGATAGCAAGAATTAACTTATTAGGTACTGGACTTTTGCATATTTTCCTGGGGGAAAAAAACTCATTGGTTATTATCTTTGCAGTGGAATAAATTTCCAATTAATAAATTAAAAGAGGGTTTATTATGGATACAAAAGTAAGAACAAAAAGTAGTTTTGTCAAGTTCACTAATTGTTCAAGGCTTACTTAAGATCAGAGCATTTAATACTTGGGGGACAAACCCAGTTTCCAAAACCGAAACCATGTAATGGTTTACTTATTCTATAAACGTATGATCTTATCTGCTCAGATTTACCTTCGGAGCAATAAAACCTCTGGCAGCTACTTCTGGTTGTCTGCGTGAAGGGGAGACAGGAGATAAGAGCATTCCTGTCTTTATTGCTCTCTTGAACATCCGAAGGTGGGATGGGGTGGGAAAGGTGTTCCTATGATGACCATAAATGCCCAAGTCTGGCACCAGCGAGGTAAACCAGTCCTCTTTGGGAAATATGGTAAATCTCTCAGGCTACTGGTCTTCATTTATTAAAACCTGTCACTGCCTTAAAAAATTAAAAAAAAAGATAAAAAAAAAAAGAATCAGAAGAGACCCGCCACCTCCTCCGCATCAGAAAATTAATCACTCCAGTTTTAAAATATTTTAGCACTTTGGGAGAATTCATTGCCAGGTGCAAAACTTTCAACTTTCCTGTGGGCTCATAGGGCAGCCTTACTTATTCCACTCCCAAAGAGCGCTCCAGAGCCCTGACGAGCTAGGGCTGCCTTGACCTGATTCCCACTGACAAATTCTAGTCAGGGTGCGCTGCGGGGACAGCGCTTGGGGGACGGTATCGACCAGACTCTGCCCAGGGACACCCCGCTTTCATGTAACCGTTAGGAAAATCTGTCCTTAGCACAACTCAGTCAGAGGTCATGCAGGTTCCTGGCAGGTGGGGGTGTTTTGGGTGATTGTTAAAACCCCTGAATTTTCATGACTCCCAGGCTCTGTCTGTATGAGCTCATCCTCAGGGCCTAGAACCTTTAAGCTTTCTTCTTTGGACTTTCATACTTTGGTTAAAATCTGCCAAAACTGTGACAGAGTCTGGTGGGGGGGATTTTTATTGCCTGATAAATAATGTTCTAGAAGGTCATAATTCCATATTAGCCACTAAATATCCAGAATGTATAAAGCATGCAAAGTTGAATCCAAGATATGGATGAAAAACAGCTCGGTGACATTTCTTAAGAATTATTCATTTTCTTTTTCAATCTGAAAATGGAGCAGGAACATTCTCCTAAATCCTGGGCTTAGAAAGCTGAACACCGCCTTGAGGCCTTAAAGAATTACTTTGACAGAGCCATTTCTCTTTAGTCTTTAAATTAGAAATAGAGAAATTTTCCATGGTAGTTTGGAAGAAATCTTAAGTTTTTGGATTCCTAAGATTTTGAGGGACGTCTAGAAACTTGCATCATGGTCCGTCTACATGTGCCATCCTAGAAGACGCTGAAATTGTACTTGGGAGAAGTGATGCCCCTCAGATTTGCAGCACCTTCATTGTTGGGTTAAATTCTAGGATCCGGTTATGCTCGTTGTCCAGAAGGTCTTCTGGGTAAAGTCATTTTCTCAAGATAAAATGAATCTGTTTTTAATTGTTCGGCCCTTACATGGGAATAGCTGTTTCCAAATAGACACACACACACACACACACACATACTTACACACACACATACACACACATATTTACACACACATACACACACCAGCCTCTGCTATAGTCTTTTAACTCCTTGAAGACCATTATTACGTGCAAAACTTCTTTTAACCTGCATTCTTTGAACTTTTTCATCCCTTTATCTTCCTGAAATTGCTGACTCTCACATCCTAATCGTCCCTCCAGACCTCCCCTCCCCTAAAAATAAAAACCAGTACAGTGGCACAACTTGTTGAAAGGCAAAGAGTGATACCATTATATCTTGGTTTATGGGGATACGACAGGCAGAAGGCCCAGTGTTCTTCACAAGGCTCTCCTCCTCCTCCCGTGGTGAAGTGCATCTCGCCAAGGACGTCTTTGGGATTGGACATAAACCCAACACGGTGTACAGTTCACGTGCTGTTAAATCTCTTCAGGACTTGTAGTGTTGACACTCCTGTTGTTTCCCTTCCAGGCAGGCTGGGCTAACATTTCCCATCTCAATTGAAACATATATTCTCTGTTGACAGAGACCAGATACTGCTACACTCAGCACACGATGGAAGTCACAGGAAACAGCATCTCTGTTACCAAACGCTGCGTTCCACTGGAAGAGTGCTTGTCCACTGGCTGCAGAGATTCTGAACATGAAGGCCACAAGGTCTGGGCAACAAAGCAAGTGACCGGGACAGCCCAGTCAGCGTCCCCCGCTGCAGACGCGTGTGCCGGTGCTCATGAGCAGATGCCCCCTCCTCCATATAGCCTGGCTTTTGACTGTCTTTGTACCATTACGAGAAGATTCTCTTTTCCCGTTTGCTTTAAAAGAATAAATTTATACCAGAGCATAGGAAAACCAGTATAGATTATGTAAGCACAACACCAGGGGGTACGGAAAGTTATCATAAGCCCTTTCTTTACTCAGAGGAAAGTAACAAAACCACCAGAAGGAGGAGGAATGAGGGATCAGTTAGGGCCTCATGCTGAAGCGCTGCAGATGTAGCAGCAGTTCATTCAGCTGAGGATGGCCGTGGCAACTGGGCTCTGACCACTGTCCGTAAAGGGAGGTTCCTGTCCTGATTGGAATGCTGATTTGGGGAAGGTGCCCATTGGCTCCTGAATCATTTGAGTTGGTGGTCAGAGAACCATCTCCTGGTGGGTTTGCTCCCCTTAAACTCCGTGTGGTAAAGTGAACTTCAGATGGAGCCTTCAAGGAGAATATAAAGAACCGGAGGAAGGCGTCGGAGTAGGGAATGCCCCTGGCTCTCCTGCTGGCTGCTCCGAGCTAGCTCCATGTGTGCTCTTGTACGTCTTGTACATCAGGTCTTGGCCTTTATTTGAGGTTGGCCCACTTCTCCCCAGCAGGCTGCCTTCCTGGTGGTTGGAAGCAACTTCTGCTCTCAAAACCCTGGAACAGCACATTTACTAGGGCCTTCCAGAAGATACCCAGGTTTTAAGCCACTTGTGCAATACACTAAGAATTCCATTTCAAAATATAATCTGCCAACTTGATGCTGGTCTGAATATAGAAGGTAAACTCAAGGGTTTTACCTCCCCACCTGGTCCGCTCCCAGCAAACTAGGAGCTCAGGCATTATTGCGGCTCTTTTACCGTGGATAAAGGTAAAGATCAGGGAAGTGACATCATGTGCTCAGTTCTGTCCACAGAGAGAACTCAGACTCACTTCTGACCTTCAGTTTCTCTCCTCAACATCGTGATGTCTTACTAGCCCATGTCAAGTGTGACCAGACTCAAATCCTTGCAGGATAATGACTAAATAGGATATCAACCATCAGACAGTTTTTCAAATATTACTGTGCACATGGATCAGTTGGGAATCTTATTAAAATGAAGATTCTGAGTTGCTAAATTGGGGGTGAGGTTTGAGATTCTTCATTTCTAATAGACTCCCAGGGGATGCTGAATCTACTGATTTATAGTCTGTGTAGCCATGGCCCCAAATAATTTTAGCCAATAACCCTTTAGGTTTATTTCTTTCTTATGGTCCGTGAATAGCGTAGTATAAGGCAGGAACAACTGCATTAATGAAAACCCTCCAGACTTTGACCTCATCTGCAAGGATGGTGGTAGTTACGTAGACTGTTCCAGTGAAAGTAATAGTTAAGTGTAAGTTGGGTTGTTTCCACTTCACTTACACTGTGGAACTTTGGCAAGTGAAAGTTACCCTCAAGTACTCAGAAGGGATTTCTTTGAGACCATAAGTAGGGTATTATAGGGTACCCTATAGGGTATAGGGTACCCCGTAGGGTATTATAATCCCCATTTCGCAGATGGAAAAGCTGAGACCTAAGAAGGTCGTAGAACCATGTAATAACCACCCGGTCGGATGTCAAAAGTGGAGCTCACGTTCCTTGAACCTTAGTCCAGGGGATTTTCCTTTTGATCACATTGGCTCCAGATGAAATTTCATCCCACTTCCTTAAGTGCAGGGTTGTGCCTCTCTTGTGGAACAGGTAGTTTTCATTTCAGTCTTACTGTGAGGGAGACAGCTCCCTCCAGAGTCCTTGCGTCCTTCCACGGTCTGCCAGCTTCTCATCAGCCTTCTGTTTCTCTTCCTTTCTTTCAGGTCTGCACTTCCTGTTGTGAAGGAAATATCTGTAACTTGCCACTCCCCCGAAATGAAACCGATGCCACATTTGCCACAACGTCACCCATAAATCAGACAAATGGGCACCCACACTGCGTGTCAGTGATAGTGTCCTGCTTGTGGGTGTGGTTGGGACTCACACTATAGCAGCTCAAAGGCACCGTGTATAGTAGCAATCCCTGGGGATCTCCATGGTCCATGGTCATGCATGAGTCATGGGCTTGACAATAGTTACATGTGTGAAACCATGACACTCAACAGATGTTGCACAGCCAAGCATTTCCACTTACCATGAGGAACAAGCATTGCTTCCGTGTAGTCATTTCGAGTCCGAGACCTTATTAAAGCCAGCCTGCCCGCACAACAGACCCTGAGTTGTATACCACAAACGTTTCTTTTTACCCCAGGAAAATGGTTGCATTTATTGAGATCTGAGGCTCTTAGTTTGGAGGACATGCATGAGCCATGGGAGGTCCTGGGACCCTCTGAGTGTTAGACAACGTGTTATATGGACATGCACAGATGTGTGTTCTTCAGGAGAAAGGCGAGGGACCACTGGTTTAAATATAATCATGAATTTATTTATAGTTTTAGAATTTTACAACTTTGATTCCAAAATGAACAGACTGTTTCCTTGGAGATTCTGACTGGGTCCCTGGAAAAGTAGTAAGTAGTTGTCCAATTTAATTTTCCCAACATTCTTCTCCCAGTGGTTGGAATCCTATTCCCTCTGCACTGTGCAGGAAATAAGAGGCAATCATAAGTTTGTTGTATAGGGGGAGGGGTAGCAGGAGAAGGATTTTTTCCCAACTTAATGGAACTAGCATCCATAAAGTAGCTGCATATCCTTTCATCATAATTGGTGAGATTGGCCATGATTTGGCACCTCGTTGTGCTCCGTGAGATCCTGAATTCTCCTTGGGCCAAGGGTATCCAAGGAATCTCAAAGTAAGTTAGAGTTTTCTCCACTCATGGAGTTCTATTCAGGCATAGCTTAGCTAGACAGAGAATTTCAGAATAAGAGGAAGATGTGTGGAGATTGACCTATGTTCACAGAGGGCCCTTCCATCGTACATCATACTGCCAGGGAGCCCTCCTGGGTTCTTCCTCTTTCAATTCTCTAGTGACTTTAGGGAGAAGGTTCTGCATCACATTATCTCAAAACTTATAGGGAAAGGAGACATAATATCCTAGGATGAGAAGTAGGTGGGCCACTTGGGTGATGGTGAGACTAGTAAGGAGACCCAGTGGGAATTTTTCTTTCTTTTAGGTGATTGCTTTTGAAGTAGATGGTAACATTTTTGCCATTCTTCCTGTATTTTTGGCCTGAGTTACAACTTTTTCTTCTTCCTTGTAAATCATTTATACAATATTTATTTTTGTATGGCATAATGAGAAACTTAAATATATTGTAAGATATTCTTTATTCTGAACAAAGTGACCAAATTAGAATACTTATTTTTTCAACAGTGATAGAGCTTGTAATATATGTTCGTTGAAAGTGACCTATAATACTTGCATCAGTGTTGAAAAAAATTAACTTATGTTTGAGCAAGAGTAATGTGTTGGCCTCAAGGGCTTTTGCTCATGGTTTCCTCAGCGTTGTTGTCCCAGCAGTGTTCGGGTGGTGACCATCACTAGTATGAGTTCTCTGCAGGGTTAAGGGGCATATTTGTATGAAATTTGGTGGAGCCATTGCTGATAAAGAGGAGAGTATTGTCAGGGTCCATCTGCCTGCACAGGAAGATTTCTGAGGCTCATAAAAGGAGACCCCCCCTCAGGGATTACCAAATATGAACCGACTGACAGTGGTAGCTGTGATATGAAATAATCTAAATTGCATCAAATGGCCTTAAATGAGAGTTCGGTAGGCTTGTCAATGTGTTGCTTATAATTGGGGAAGTAGAGGGAGATAAGACATTTACTAAGCACCTCTTATGTGCAGGCACTATGCTAAGCACTTTATATACATATACATATATATATATATATATATATAAAGTCATATGAAACCTGCAAGCACCCTATAGGGAATATTACTAGGATTTTCACTTTACTGATGAAGGTACTGAGACTCTACGAAGCTCAATAACATGAAGCCTTTTCCTTCCAATTTAGGTTCTATAGGTTGAGGTGGGATTGAAGAGAGCAGAGAGGATAGAATTAGGAAAACTAGGAAAACTTCCAAACCTGACCGTGAGAATCTGTCCATCTGATCATGTGGTGTTTGACTAGTCCTGTCTCTGCAGGATGCCATTTGTATGGTGTGTTTTTTCTTAAGGGGTGGAGGCATAGCTTCCTAGTCCATTCCTCTTGCTAAAAGAGGAGACAGGTTAACTGCTATAAATGCTCTAAGTCAGTGAAAAATTGATGTTGTACATATCTCCACGTACCATTTTTGTGCATGGCCACTCCACTGATAACCGCCACGTACTGCATGCAATTTGAGTTAAGAGGCAAAGTCGAAATGTTGGTTCTTAATGAGAAGGCAACCTCTCCAAAGCCTCCCTGTCTGGTGTACGGGGAACCAGGTCCACAGTGCTGCGAACTCATCTGCCACCCCAGGGAATCACGACAAACTCTGCATGAACCTCGCGTGGCTATCAAAACGGCTGGTGTTCTGTTCTCTTGAAAGAAAGAGGTTTGCTCGCCATCCCCAGCCTCAAGGAGCCAAGGAAGGGTCACTTATGTGGAAGGGCCAGGACTGGTCATCCATCTGACTTTTCTACCACATTAAACTTCCTGTTAAATCCCACCATTGGTGACGGCTCGAAGTGCAAACAGCCATGATGTGTACATTAACCTATGTGCCATTTATTTATTTTCAGATTCCCCGTTGCATTCATGTCAAGATGGGATTAATGCCTAAATTTTGTAAATACTGTACATTTTGTAAATCAATGAATAAAGGTTTTAAGTGTATCTCACCAGGCTCCTCCCTGCAAATGTACATGTCAGTCAATGATTGAGGTATAAGGCATAGGGCTTAGGGTCACAGGGAACTTCCTTCCAAGAGCTCATTTTTCTTGTTGTACAGACAAGAAATACATGCATGAAAAGAGACAAGACCATTCACTCACGCCAAATGATTCATGTAGACAGTAAGTGCTGCAGAAAATCAAAGAGGGAGAGATTACCAGACTTTACAATCAGGTCTGCAGTTTCCCTAGAGCATTTTCTTTGTTAAAACAGGAAAAATGAAAGTGTGTGTGTGTGTGTGTGTGTGTGTGTGTGTGTATTTCTAAATACTACCCCATTAACTTAATTTTTAAACCTCAATCTGTTAGTGATGATAAAAATGGAAAGCATTTTCCCTTGTTGGTTTCTTCTGCAGCAGGAAACAAACATTTGAATAATATAAATGTTTATCTATACAATGAAATTTATTTTATTTTTCTTAGTAAAATTGTAGGTATTGAAAGTGACCTTGAAAAACTTCAGCTTGTGTTTCTCGTCTTTCTTTTTCTTTCTTTCTCTCTTTCTTTCTTTCTTTCTTTCTTTCTTTCTTTCTTTCTTTTTTCTTTCTTCTTTCTTTCTTCTTTCTCTCTCTCTTTCTTTCTTTCTTTTTCTTCTTTTTCTTTCTTTTCTTAATTGAGGCATATTGACATAAAACATTAGGCTCATGTCTGCGACATAATGATTAGACATTTGTATACATTGTGCAGCGACCACCAGGATTCTAGCTAACGTCCGTCACCTTACATAGTTATGTTTTTTCTTTTAATAACCTTTAAGATTTACTCTCAGTATCTTGCAAATATGCAGTACGGTATTATTTGTAGGCACTATGCCATACAACCCCATGACTTACTTTTTTTATAACTAGAAGTTTGACCTTTTGACCTCCTTCACCCATTTCTTCCATCCCCCTCCACCTTTGGCAACCACCAATCTAATCTATATCTATGAGCTTGATTTTTTTTTATTTGTGTTTTTCAGATTCCACGTATAAGTGAAGTCATATGATATTTGTCTTTCTCTGACCTAGTTCACTTAGCTAATGCCCTCAAGTTCCTTTCATGTTGTCACAAAAGGCAAGATTTCATTATTTTTTACGGATGAATAATACTCCATTATAAATACATAAATCTTCTTTATCCAATTATGCATTAATGGGCGCTGATGTTGTTTCCATATTTTGGCTATTATACATAAGGCCTCAATGATCATGGGAGGGCATAAATCTTTTGGAGTTAATGTTTTTATTTTCTTTGGGTAAATACCCAGAAGTGGAATTACTGGGTCATATGGCATTTCTATTTTTAATTTTTTGAGGAATCTCCATACTGTTTTCCAGAGTGGCCACACCAATTATGTACCCACCAACAGGGCACGAGGGTTCCCTTTTCTCTGCATCCTTGGCAACATGTGCTATTTCTTTTCTTTTTGATAATAAACATTCTGACAGTTGCAAGTTGATATCTCATTGTGGTTTTGATTTGCATTTCCCTGATAATTAGTGATCTTGAGCATCTTTTCATGTGTCTGTTGGTCATCTGTATACTTTTTTAAAAAGATTTTATTTATTTATTCATGAGAGATAGAGACAGAGAGAGAGAGAGACAGAGACATAGGCAGAGGGAGAAGCAAGCTTCATGCAGGATGTGGGACTGGATCCCAGAGTCCTGGGATTATGCCTTGAGCCAAAGGCAGATGCCCAACCACTGAGCCACCCGAGTGTCCCATCTGTATACTTTTTATGTTAAAAGTATCTATTCAGGTCCCATGCCCAATTTTTTTTCCATGCCCAATTTTTAATCAGATTGGTTTTTTGGTGTCAAGTTGTATAAATTCTTCATATATTTTGAGATTTTTCTTTTTTTTAAAATTTTTTAAAATTTATTTACGATAGTCATACAGAGAGAGAGAGAGAGGCAGGCTCCATGCACCGGGAGCCTGATGTGGGATTCGATCCCGGGTCTCCAGGATCGCGCCCTGGGCCAAAGGCAGGCACCAAACCGCTGAGCCACCCAGGGATCCCTCTTCTTATATTTTGGATATTAATACCAATCAGGATTTTCCCTGACTGGAAATACCATTTGCAAATATTGTCTCTCATTCTATAGTCTGTCCTTTTATATTTTGATGATTTTCCTCACTGTACAGAAGCTCCTTAGTTGGATATAGTCTCCACTGTTTATTTTTGCTTTTGTTGCCCTTGCCTGAAGAGACAGATCAAAAAATATATTGCTCAGACTGATGTCCACAGGTTTATTGCCTATGTTTTCTTTTAGGAGTTTTATGGTTTGGGGTCTTACATTTAGGTCTTTAATCAATTTTATTTTTGTGTACAGTATGAGACAGTGGTCTAGTGCTATTCTTTTGCATGTAGCTGCCCCGTTTTCCCAGTACCATTTATTGAAGAGACTGTCATCCCCATTGTATATTCTCACCTCCTTCGTTGTAGATTAATTGACTGTTACAAGCATGCGCTATTTGTGGACCGTCTGTTCAGTTCCATTGATTTGTGTGGGTGTGCTTTGTGCCAGTACTATGTTATTTTGATTACTATAGTTTTGAAATCAGGGGGCATGATGCCTTGAGCTTTGTTTTTCTTTCTCAAGATTGCTTTTGCTATTCACAGTCTTCTGTGGTTCCATACAAATTTTAGGATTGCTTGTTCTATTTCTATGAAAAATGCCATTAAATTTTGGTATAGATTGCATTGAATCTCTAGATCGCTTTGGGTAGTATGGACATTTTAACAATATTGATTTTTCCAGCCCATGAGCACAGTATATCTTTATGTTTTGTGTGTGTTTTCAATTTCTTTTATTAATGTCTTATAGTTTTCCATGTATGGGCCTTTCACTTCCTTGGTTAGGTTTATTCCTAGGTATTTTGTTTTATTTTATTTTATTTTATTTTATTTTATTTTATTTTATTTATTTTATTTTAATTCTATGGAAATCAAAAAATTGGTTACAATTTAATAACCTCTGATATTTTCCAATTTTTTTTCTTTTTTTTTCATTTGCCTAGAGGATTGACTTTATTTTATTATTATTATTTATTTTTTATTGGAGTTCAGTTTGCCAACATATAACATAACACCCAGTGCTCATCCCGCCAAGTGCCCCCCTCAGTGCCCATCACCCAGTCACCCCAACCCCTATTTTATTCTTTTAGATGCAATTATAAGTGGGATTGTTTTCTTCATTTCTCTTTCTGGTGGCATTATTAATGTATAGAAATATAACAGATTTTTGTATTTTGATTTTGTATCCTGCAACTTTATTGTTTTATTAGTTCTCATAATTTTTTTATGGAGTCTTTAGGGTTTTCTATATAGTATCATGTCATCTGCAAATAGTGACAATTTTACTTCTTCCTTACCAATTTGGGTGCTTTTTATTTCTTTATCTTGCTTAACTGCTGTAGCTAGGACTTTGAGTACTATGTTGAATAAAAGTGGGGAGAGTGCACATTCTTTTCTTGTTCCTGATCTTAAGAGGAAAAGTTTTCCATCAGTGAGTATAATTTTAGCTATGAACTTGTCATATGTGGCCTTTATTATGTTGAATTACGTTCCCTCTCTGCACACTTAGTTTCAGTTTTTATCATAAATGGATGTCAAGTTTTGTCAAAAGCTTTTCCTGCATCTATTGAGATGACCATATGATTTTTATTGTTTATTTTGTTGTTGTGGTGTATCACATTGATTGATTTGTGGATATTGAATCATCCTTGCATCTTTGGAATAAACCTCACTTGATTGTGGTGTATAATCCTTTTAAACAATGTATTGTTGAATTTGTTTTGCTAAAATTTTGTTGAGGATTTTTTCATCTCTTTTTTATCAGAGAAACTGGCCTATAATTTTCTCTTCTTGTGGTATACCTGTCTCGATATGATAATAGGGTAATGCTGACCTCATAAAATAAACTTGGAAGTATTCTTCCTTCTATTTTTTTGGAAGATTCTGAGAAGGATTGGTATCAATTCTTCTTTGAATATTTGGTACAATTTTACCAGTGAAACCATCCGGTCCTAGACTTTTTGTTTATTGGTAGGTTTCTGATTACTGATTTAATCTTCTTACTATTGATCAATCTGTTCAGATTTTCTCTTTCTTTATGATATCTTCTTGGTATGTTGTATGTTTCTGGTAATTTATTTCTTCTAGATTTTCAAATTTGTTGGTGTGTAATTATTCATAGTAGTCTCATGATCCTTTGTATTTCTGTGATATCAATTGTAATTTTTCTTCATTTCTGATTTTATTTATTTGAATCCTTTTTTCTTGGTGAGTCTAGCTAAAGTTTTGTCAATTTTGTTTATCTTTTCAAAGAACAGCTCTTGAGTTTCATCAATCAGTTCTATTGTCATATTAATCTCCATTTTATTTACTTCTCATTGATCTTTGTTATTTCCTTCCTTTTCCTAACTTTGGCCTTTCTTTTCTAGTTCTTTGAGGTACTGTTAGGTTTTTGTTTTGTTTTGTTTTTGCTTATTTCTTGAGGTAGGCATTTATTTCCATGAGTACCTCTCTTAAAACTGCTTTGCTGCATTCCATAAATTTTGATATGTCGTCTTTCTATTTTAATTAGCCTTAAGGTATTTTTTATTTCTTCTTTGAATCCTTCTTTGACACATTGCTTGCCCAGTAGCATGTTGTTTAATCTACATTTTTGTGGCCTTTTCAAGTTTTCTTTTTGTAATTGATTTCTAGGTTCATACCACTGTAGTTGGAAAAGATACTTGATATGATTTCCATCTTCTTAAATTTACTAAGACTTTCTTTGTGGCCTAACATATGATCTATCCTGGAGAATGCTCCATGTGCACTTGAGAAGAATGTGTATTCTGTTGTTTTTGGATGGAATTTTCTGGATATATCTGTTAAGTCCATCTGGTCTAACATGTTGTTTAAGGCCAATGTTTCCTTATTGATTCTCTGTCTGAATGATCTATCCATTGAT